GTCTGCTATCTCCCAGCCCTATTCCATCAGAACAACTTTCTATTTATGGGTCCCCAGACTTAAATAAGAGGATCAGCGATGTCTTCTCTAAGGCCTCATCATGATGGGGCAGAAGGCAGGGCACAACTCTCACACTCATATTTATTTCTTTTTCTCTGCCAACCTCCCCCTTCATTGCCCTCTTTTTCAGCTTGAAGATTCTTTTTTTAGTCTAGGTAGGAAAGTCACACATGTGGATCTCAATCTTTCAGTTTCACCTCCAGGGTTTTGAACTCAATAATCAAGACTTCCTACCTTTTCTGGTTCTGTAGTGAGTCCAGAGTGGCAATGGATGTCTCCTGTCTAACTCTCATCTGGAGGGGGGCTCTTAGGGAGCACATGAGTGACTTAGGTGGAGTAGGAGTGGGCATGGGTCATCACCTCAAATTTTACTTGGAAATACTTTGCCACTACATAATTATGATATCCTCTAGGCCTAGACTTTGGAAGGAAGAATAAGAAGGAAAAATTAATTGGATGTGATTAGTGTTAGACTATGATGTAGGTAAGAGAATTCAAAGAAAGTTATTAAGATTTGGGGCCTGAGTGGATGGAAAATGAATGAAGTTGAGGGGATTAGGAAAAGAATGACAGACAGACCAACTAGTTGTTTATGTCCCATGGTTTGAAATACCTGTATCTGAATGAGAGCAACACATGTAGAATGTACATCAATTTTACTAGCGATCTAAGATGAACAGATTCTAGAGGATCAGGCTCCTTAATCCAACTCACTAAATGGTATGGCAACGAGTATATCCATTCATTAATTTACCTTGGGGATTATATCTAACAGGATGACCATTAGCAGTCATTTGAGCATGACTACTGGGCCACTCAGATGGGAGTTGGTGCTTGGCCATCAGTTGGATCAGTGGGTTGATTAGTGAACATAGAATAAAGAACTTGTAATTAGAGTTTATCCAACTATCAAATAGGATGAATTGCTCTTCTTGGTCCTAGGAATATTTCTAAGATATCCCCTAATAGTCTTTAGAATCAGCAACTTTTCTTCCCTAGAGATTGTGACAAATTCTACTATACCATTCATTTTCTATACTTTTTATCTGTCATCCAAAACCTCTGTCATTTCCTTATGACAATTTGCAATTTCTTAAATTACTACTACTCTTCTACTAGTTACATTTTAAATTGATGACTTCCCTTTTAGGGAAGCATGCTAGACCCCTGGTGAGATGTAGAAAGCACCCTCAAATTGCTAGCAATATGTTTGTGAATCATCTCTTAGGTGGCTTATTTCCTGCCATGATTCCTGCAGATGACTAATCTTACCCATTTTATGTTGATTCCTATTAGCACTAATCTCCAAGCATGATAATATCTGACTCTGTCCTAATTTTAGATTAAGCTTTTGGGTTTTTTGTTGTCATTGTTACCCTTCAGCCTTCCTTTCTAAATTTCCGTATTTCTGGTGTTTGCCAGAATTTTAAAAAGAAAGCGGTGGGGATTACTGCTTTTAGTTAAGGATATATTGAGAATTTGATATGTATTCCATATTGAGCTAATTAAAATAAGAATATGTTAATTGCAGTCCTGCCTCTGCTCATACCACAGTATCTATCAATTATAACGTATTGAATGTACTCGCTAGTGTTTCTTTTTTTCCTATTAGACTTGGAGCTTCACAAAGACTGTTGTTCATCTTAGTGACTGGCTTATAATAGGGACTCAATATATATTGAATAAACAAATATTAGTAAATTATACATTAAAAAAAGTTAATTTTAGAGGCTTAAGGGATTCAATACATAACACGTTTTTCTTTCCTTCCCCAGTTTGGTTTTCCTTCCCTGACGAAGACCCAGGAATTGGGCAGTTAGAGACAAAAATAGCAGCTCATTACTCTGTCCCAAGTGCTCAGAAGATTGCTTGGAACACATAAGTATTCAATGAATATTTGGTGGATGAACAGATTAGTAAAAGCTAGATTGAAGAATGTAGCATAATGGACAATCAAGTTGGCTTCCTGATACTTTATTTCAGAATTTAAGTAACCCATCCAGTTCAAGGAAAATTTGGTCAACCCCAAACCTCTCCTGCAGAGATGTAAAGACTTCCTTCTACAGCAGCCTCCTCTAGACAGGCTGCTTCTAAAGGTGAGTGAGAGCTTGCCTAGCAGGGAGAGTCACCTTTCCTCTCAAGGAAAGGAGTGGGTAAGAAAGTGGAGAGAAGTCCCTTCATTGAATAAAAGACCATGGGATGAAGTCTCCTTTGTAACATATCTAGCTTCTGGCTCCTTTAAGTCACTGAAACTTATAGTTAAATGTATGATCAACAGAAGCTGTCCACCCCCGGAGAACATAGGCAAAGGAACTAGAAAGAAATTGCTTTTTCCATTTTTTTTTCATTGTGTTCAAATATGTAACATCACATAAAATATATAACACAGTATAAAATAACATAACATAAAATTTATCATATTAACCATTGTTAAGTGTACAGTTCAGTGGTAGTAAATACTTAAGTGCATTCATTTTGTTGTGTAACCATCACAACTGTCCATCTCTAGAATCCATTTTCATCTGCAAACCTGAGACCACATATCCATTAAACAATAACTTCATATTCTCCCACAGGCACAGACCTTAGCAACCACCATTCTACTTTCTGTCTCTATGGATTTGACTATGGCAGAAGGAGATTTTAAACAATCAGTATTATCACAAATAAATCCTTGATTGGAGGATGAAACCTAGATGTGTGCCTACAGTAGGCTTTTTAACTCTAAATAATTTCAGCATTAAACTCACTCAACCACCTGCCAAGCACAGGTCCCTCCCATGCCCTTGGCTTCCCCCACAGAGGCAGCCTGGGAAAGAGGGTGCAGGTTAGTTCATTCTGTGGACAGGCGGTCACTGAAAGGTGTTCAGAAGGGCCTGAACTGAGCATGTTAATTCTTCCCTCCAGCTGTCCAGGGAGGTGTGACAAGTCTTCCCGTGGAGGTGAAGGTGGGAGAGGCCAAGAGCCTTACTCTGATGGAATCCCTCCACGGGTCCATAAGGCCAAAGAATGTCAGGAAATGTGGAGAGGACACCTAGAAATTTGAATCTCACCTTCACATTAATTACTGTCCAGCCAAAAAAAAGAAGAAGCCAGAGCCAAAGCTAGGACATGTTCGGAGGACAATGGCAATTAGCTGCAAATTATATCATGCTATCATCAAGTCATGTTCATCCATTTAATATTATAAAAAAAAACCCTGACTGCCTTAGAAGTTTATTACTGACAACTTTCATATATATGTTTGTTTCTAAGTTGACTTCCTTTTTGTATTACAGAAAGAGTAATACAAAAAGGCCAAAGAGATTGTTATCCTCCAGAGATCACTTTTTCAACCCAAAGTGAAATCAGTGGCCTGTGTCAGCCGCTGTCTAGATAAGCTATGGTAAAGCAGAAAACGGAGACCAGCTGGGAGAGGGAGGGAATGAGCCAAGCTGACTTTCCTTCTCTATTTGTAGGCCTCCTTTCCCACCAAGAGTAATGGATACCTGAAACACTCCTTCACACATCTTCTCTCCCAAAGGCATTCAAAATTGTGGCTGAAGCAAAAGCCAACAAAAGGCGCACTAGGGTAGGGCACGCTATATGGGCTCTAATGAAGCAGGCGTTAGTACTGTAAGAAGCCGTGTCCCTTTGTTTTAAAAAAACCTCTGGTTGCTTCTGTTACCAACACGCTGAGAACAGATAACCTAGGCATTTGTTTGGGTTTTGGTTAACTTAAACTGGCTGTGAATTTTTTTCTGAAAGCTTTTAAGGTCTTAAAGGTTTTTTACACCTGCCTAAGTTGGAATGCTCTAATAGTTTAAGGTTGGATATCTGACAAGCCAGCAGTTGGAGGACTGACTTCCCTGGAAAAAAGCCCAAGGACCCTAAATCTCTCAGACGATCCTTGCACAGGTATTTAATCAGCTCTCCTGAGGGTTTTTTTCTCCCCTCTATTCAGAAGATCATATTGCATTTGGCATTCCAAGAATCTTAAAAAGAATAGGTGCCTTGCTGAAGCAATGATGTAAAAAAAATATTTTACATACAAGAAAAGCTGCTCTCATGAAATCCACTCTTGCAGGCCCCTATGGTGTCACAAAAAAAGATTTTTCTGACTGGTGGTCCTTAATATAGTTCTTACACTCTTATATAGAAACAGAGGCTATTTTATCTTTAAACAGAAACCAATGCTTTTATACCTGGAACATTACCCTGGGAGAATAAGAATTCTTGCCTAAGACCTACTTTAAGAAAAACCAAGTGGAATTTGCAGCTTCTCTGCTCTTCAATGCAGATTCTGGTCTCTTCTTGAAGGATGAGACTCTGTCTGCCTCTTCGTTCAGTTCTCAGGCTGGGGAGGGAGGAGGAAGCATAATCAGATGAGCAAGCCCCCTCTGGATAGCCTTCCTCCTGCTGCCTGCTGCCTGCTGCCCATCACTCCCTTATTTTCCCTGCCTTAGACTCTGCCTCTTGTTCTTCCAGCACTTCTTAAGAAAACTCTAGAAAGCTGCAAGGGAGCTGACCCAGTAGGTCCTGCTGGCAGATGTGCATTGCCTCTGTAGGCCTGAATTTCAAAAATCTCTGAAGGCAAATCTTATTAAGCATTTTATTCTCTTTAAAAGCACTGACACATTTTGTACAATTCCCCTTCTGAAAAAGGTTATTTCACCATTAGTGGACTCTTGAAGCTGATATGTCATTCAGCTAAATAAATAAGTGATGATAGAAAGCAGGCTTAAAACACATGACTAGTAGAATCAAATTAGTAATTTGAAAACTGGCTTTTAGGGGGTTGGTCTTTGCATTTCCCTGGCCTACCAAGCAGACCAAAACTCATAAATAATTGCTGGTGACATTGTTTCACCTGCAGATGTATTTTTTTCTAGGCTTGGGTCTATTCTTTCTTTTGCAGGTAGTTAAAAGTTTTCATTTAATATGAATATTATGCTCGGAGAGTCGGTATACTTGGGTCTTACCTCCTTTCTGCTGACCTTCATGGAGGCAGGTGACCTTCGCTCTGATGAGGTGGACAAAGCATTCTACTTTCAGTAAGAAGAATGGCTTTGAAATTTCGCCAGTTTACAGGTTCTGTGAATATGTTTCCTGATTTCCAAAGTTAGGAAAGTAATATTTACACATCACAGCAGGTGTTTCAAGAGTTAAATCGTATAATACATGGAAAAGCAGTGCATAATCAAACCCAGCAACTCTCAATTCCAATAGTGAATTGGGAGTCGGTTTTCCTGTATCTAATGCTCTCTCTTGTACTTCCTCACAGGGTGACCTTGACATAGCTACTTAAACATTTTAAGCCTCAGTTTCCTCACCTTAAAAAAGGGAACCTAAAAATGAGACATTGGTAAGTAGAAATTGTTAGTGCTGTGTTAAGCTTGGGGTAGTTTTCCTTCTTTTTTTTTTTTAACGGCTTTATTGAGATATAATTCACATTGCATACAATTCTCTCATTAAAGCATGTAAGTCAGTGGTTTTCATGTATTCACAGACACATGCAACCATCAACATGGTTCATGGTTTAGAACATTTTCAGCACCTCAAAAGGAAACTCCCTACCCTTTCCTTATCACCTCTCTATTCTCTTACCCTTAACCCCCAGTCCTAATCTACTTTCTGTACCTACAGATTTTCCTGTTCTGGACATTTCTTATTAATGGAATCATATAATATGTGATCTTTTTTGTGTCTGTGTGTTCTTTCACTTAGCATAATTTAATCAAGATTCATCTAAGTTACAGCATGTATCGGTACTTTAATCTTCTTCCAGGCCAAAGAGTATTTCATTGTATGGATGTACCACTTTCAATTAACCATTCTCCACGTATCCAGTCAAACATTGGGCTGTTTCCACCTCTTGGCTATGACAAGTAACACTACTATAAACACGTGTAAAAGATTTTTATACAGACCTATGTTTTCATTTCTCTTGGATCTATACCTAAGGAGAGGGATTCCTGGGTCATATGCTATCTCTACATTTAATGGTTGAAAAAACTGCCTGACTCTTTTCCAAAAAGGCTGCACCATTTCATATTCTCACTGGCAATGTACAAAGGCTCTTGGGTGTGGAACAAGTCTCCCAGAATGTGCCACTTCAGCATGTGGATTATTTTGACTGGAAGACAATCAAGGCCCAAAAGGCTCAGGAGGAGCTTTTAACCTCCCCTTTAACTGCCTAAGAGAATTTATTTTTAAGATTTTATTTATTTATTTGACAGAGAGAGGCATAGCGACAGAGGGAACACAAGCAGGGGGAGTGGGAGAGGGAGAAGCAGGCTATCCATTGAGCAGGGAGCCTAATGTGGGGCTCGATCCCAGGACCCCAGGACCGTGATCTGAGCCGAAGGCAGACGCTTAACGACTGAGCCACCCAGGCGTTCCTATCAAGTGTTTTTATTATGAAATGGTGGTGGATTTTTGTCAAATGCTTTTTCTGCAATTATTGAGATAATCATGTGATTTTAAAAAATTCTATTGATATGATATATCACGTCAATTGATTTTCAGATGTTGAACCAATCTCACATCCTTGGGCTAAATCCTACTTGGTCATGGTGTGTAATTCTTTTTATATGCTGCTGCATTCAGTTTGCTAGTATTTTGTTGATGATTTTTGTGTCCATATTCATAAGAGATATTAGTATTTTCTTTTCCTGTGATTGCTTAGTTTGGTAATACTGGCCTTATAAAATGAGTTGGGATATATTCCCTTCTCTTCTACTTTTTGGAAGACTTTGTGAGGAATTGGTATTAATTCTTTAAATGTTTGATAGAATTCAGCAGTGAGGGGCGCCTGGGTGGCTCAGTTGTTAAGCGTCTGCCTTCGGCTCAGGTCATGATCCCAGGGTCCTGGGATCGAGCCCCGCATCGGGCTCTCTGCTCGGCCGGGAGCCTGCTTCTCCCTCTCCCACTCCCCCTGCTGTGTTCCCTCTCTAGCTGTCTGTCTCTCTCTCTGTCAAATAAATAAAATAAAAATCTTTAAAAAAAAAAAAAAAGAATTCAGCAGTGAGTCTGCTGCTGGGTGTGAGATTTTCTTTGTGGGTAGTTTTTGGTTATCAATTCAATCCCTTCACTTGTTATAGGTTTATTCAGATAGTGTATTTTTTAGTCAGTTTTAGTAGTTTTTATCTTTCAAAGAATTTGCCCATTTACTTAATTTATCTAATTTGTTACTGTACAATTGTTCATACTATTACTTTATGATCCATTAAAACAATTATGTAAGGCCAATAATAGTGTCCTCTTTTTTATTTCTGATTCTAGTAATTTGACTGCTTTCTCTCTTTTTTTTTCTTGGTTAATCTACCTAAAGGTTTGTCAATTTTTAAAATCTTTTCAAAGAGCCAGCTTTTCCTTTCATTGATTTACCCTGTTGTTTCTCTATCCTCCATTTTGTTAATTTCTGTTTTAGTCTCTATTATTTCCTGTTTGCTTTAGGATTGGTTTGCTCTTTTTTTCCAGTGTCTTAAGACAGAAGGTTAAAGTCATTGATTTGAAATCTTTTTTCTTTCTTATTATATGCATTTGCAACTATAAGTTCTCCTCTAAGCTGTGCTCTAGCTCTTCATTTCCATTAATCTCAAAGTGTTTTCCGATTTTCCTAGTGATTTCTTCATTGACCCCTTTGTTATTTAGAAGTGTGTTGTTTAATATCCACATATTTGTAAGTTTCCTAAATATTTTCTGCTATTACTTTCTAATATCATTTCACTGTGGTTGGAGAACATACTTTGTATTTTATTATGTTTACATACTATATATTATTTCTGTCCTTTAATTTGCCTTATTTTTGCTTCAGAATATTATGAAGACTACCTGAGACTGTGGACTGTTGAATCTTATTTCCCAAAGGGTTACAATGCCTGTTTTACAGACTAACATATAGTTTATCCTGGAGAATATGTCATGCTGTACTTGAGAAGAATGTATATATTCTGTTGTTAATTGGGTGGAATTTTCTATAGATGTCTGTTAGTTCTAGTTAGTTTATAGTTGTTCAGGTCTTCTATTTCCTTGTTGATCTTGTGCCTAATTTCCTATCCATTATTGAAAGTGAGATATTAAAGTCTCCAACTATTGTTGAATGGTGTGTTTCTTCTTTCAGTTATGTCAGTTGTTGGTTCATGTGTTTTGAGTCTCTGTTTTAGGTGCATATATGTATGCAATTTATATATCTTGCCAATTCATACATATCATTATAAAATGTCCATGTTTATCTCTAGTGGCATATTTTTATCTTAAAGTTAATTTTATTTGCACTCAGCATAGTGATTCCATCTTTCTTATGATTGCTGTTTGCATGATACATCTTTTTCTATCCTTTTACTTCAATCTATTTGTATATTTGAGTCTAATGTGTATGTCTTACAGATAGCATATAGTTTGATCTTACTTTTTAAAATTGAGTCTGACAATCTCTGCCTTTTGATTTAATTCTTTAATCCATTCACATTTAACATTATTATTGATGTAATTGGATTGATGTCTGCCATTTTTCTTTTTGATATTTATGTCTTATGCCTTTTTCTTCCTCTAGCCCTCCTCTACTGCTTCCTTTTATAGTAAATCAATATTTTGTAGTGTAGCACTTTAATTTGTCAGTATATTTCTTGTGTTGTTTCAGTAGTTGTGCTAGGGTTTACCATATACATCTTAATTTATAAAATGACACTGGAATGGCAGTGGCTTTGATAAGGCTCTATTTCCCTATTTTTCTGACCACCCTCAGTTGTTAAACTCTAGTAATTGTTACTGCTGTAGTGCTTTCACAATGCCCTGGTGCATAACAATTTGGCTAGTATTTTGAATCTCTTTTCAATTGCCTTTTACCACAACCTCCACTGTTCTTGAGAGCTTGTTAAGTTTAAACCTATCCATCTTTCTCCCTGCTAGGTGGGGAGCCTGCTTCTCCCTCTGCCTCTGCCTCTCTCTCTCTCTCTCTCTCTCTGACTCTCATGAATAAATAAATAAAACATTAAAAAAAAAAAGTATCCATCTTTGTTGCAAATGAAGTCAATATATTTAGGAAGAGACTGAGAGCTATGGGTTTTGCAGCCTCTTTTTCCCCTAGGCAAAATCTTTAAAACAGGAGTCTGGAGCTTGAAGTGTGGATAATGACAACCTTCACTCTGATTCTGCTTCTCCAGGAGCTGGGTGCCAGGTAGACTGAGAGGTGTGCAGAGGGGCAGCAGCCTGAGCTTCTCTCGGCTTGCTTCTCTTGTCAGGGAACCACAAGGTGAGGCAAGAGCTCTCAGGGCTCCAGAATGCTCAGCAAGCTGTGCCCAAAGTAGAACCTCCATCCCATGAATCAGAACTGTTCAGAGGAAGGGAGTCCCCACCTCTCAATCACACTTGCCTAGGACTTAGCCTCAGCAACAGGTAGTGGGGGTGTATGTGTGAGAAATACTGAGTTTCTGTCCTCTTGGGAAGAAAGCCCTCCTACTGGGAGCTGGGCGGGGAGAGACAGGCCTGCGTTCTTGGCTGCAGCAGGGAGAGGGAATGGAGAACAGTCTTGGCTCAAACACCACAGACACTCATCTTTCTTAGCAAAATTTCATGGATTTTCTTGAATCGATGTTTTCTTTATTTGCTCTTTGCCCTTAGGACAATTTGCAGAGGCTTTAAATGGGTGTCTTTCCATGGTAAGTTTTTAACAAATGATAGTTAGCCTTCCCTTTACCTCTGTTTCCTCACAAAAGATGGAAAGGATTTGGAAGCCTCTTCTAGCCAACTTTTATTTTAGTGTTTCATAATTATTAACTGCCTTAGAAAGACTTCTTTGATCATACCCTATTTTCTTATGATGCAATTAGGGATCAGCTTCCTTCTTTATACTAGGTAGAATCAAGAATACTGTAACAGATGATGAGGATAGATAATTTAATACCATCTTTCTTTCCTGTGGTCCAGAACCTTCACTATCCTCTAAGCCTTTATATTTTACCCAGTTCCTGGGAGTATTTCTAAATAAATAATGACTCAGTGTTGCTCCTGGGTCCTCTCAAAAGCAAGCTGGTTGGTTATTTATTCATAATGGCAAATTCTCAAGAATCTTAGTGAACCGTAATAACATTCCATAAGCACCTTTCGCTTACTCCACTACTATCAGATTTTTTCCAAAGTACAGTTAATACCACTTCTTTCCCACCATTCAGGCTTCTGCTGACTTATACCAACATCTGAACTTTATACTTTGGTGTATTCAAGCTGCCAATACAATTTTCCTGCACTCCTGCTTAGTGGTTTCAAGTCCTGGTCATGCTGGTCATGCTCTAGTCCTCATATCTACTTTCTGCATAAAAGCAGGGTCCCATTATTACATGATCAAGCCAGAGCTCTGAGCAATGGTACAGCATGCATAAAATCACATTAGTCATGTTCTGTGTTGAGGGTTTCTTTGGACTCCTACCAAATACTTCAAAGTCTGTAAGAGCTCAAACAGGACTGTTGTGAGTATTCCCTTTCTCACTTCCAGATTTGACAGTTTGCCATATTTTTACTTCAGAATTACATGAAGACTACTTGAACTTATGGACTGTTTAATCTTATTTCCCAGAGGGTTACAATTCAAGGGTTCATTATAATTGAGAATGGGGAAAACATAGAAAATAGATTTATGTATGGTTGGTAGAAATGTAGTCTCAGAAAACAAGTGTGATTCAGAGAATAAAAAAGAAGAGAGGAAGAGAAGAGAAAAAGAAAATATTACATCAGCTGAAAAGCTAAAATTAAAACAAAAAAACCTCTGAAATTTTACAATACTTTAAAAAATATTGCAAAGCCAAACCTCCTGTCAGATCAAAATGCAATCCCTTGTAATATATACTGCATGATTGCTAATCTCTGTTTGTGACATTTATCTTTATGAATTCATCGAGTTCATAAGGGAGAAAGGCTAAAATAGTATTGGCATTATCTTGCTTCTCTTCATGAAGAGAAATGTCAATGTCATAATAAAAATGAGGTATTTTTTACCAATACTCCTTTTATATTATATGATAAAACTACATTTTTAAAAAAATCAGCCAAGTTTTAAAATGTTCTGATTAATAAACACATAAGGAAAAATATCTTCATTTTTATTGAAAGGTAATAGCATGGATATTAAAGATTATTTCTATTTGGTTTTGGAAAATAAATTTTGGACTACAGTATGAATGTGAATATATTTGTTATTCAGGGAATTCATATCAAATGGAATACTGAGGCCATGTTGTGAAGATCTACTCAGGAGGAATTGATATAGTCTCCATGTTTTACTTCTGGTTCTCTGATAGGCTGCAGTCCACGTTTCCATATTTGCAAAGGTTGCCATCATCTTTCCCTCTTAGGCAAAGCACAATTGCCTTTCTAAGCTTGCTTGTCTGTCAAACTCTCAGCTTTCCCTGGGGTTAGAAGAGATAAATAAGTGTTTTTGGTTTCGAAAAGACTTTTCTGGTAGTCGGGAGTAAGGACCTGGAATATCTTCCCTTCTAGGTTCCGCAGGCTGCATATGTAATCAGGGACAGTGACAAGTCAATAAAAGAGTTCAAAGATGAACAGGGCCAGTGGGAGAGAGCGTAAGGTTTCTCTAGGAATGAAGAGTGGATCATTGTTCTCCAAACTGGTCCGTAATATTTGTTAAGCTGCTATTATACGTCTACTCACATTTCTGGTTATGTGTTCGTTTCTCCATTTTAGATAGTTTATGCCTTCTACAGCTCTGGATGCTCCTTGTAGAAATGAGAGAAAGAAATGGATGTAGACACAGTGACCTGCACATAATGGCAGAATCCTTCACCATGGGGCTGACTTCCAGGGGCAATCTTGCCGAAGAGCTGTTCTGACTTCAGCTAGCTGAATCTCTCACTGCTTATTAATGACCCAGATCAAAGATATTTCCCATTTGTGTGAGACACACTCAAAATTAACTCCAGAGTCATCATATCAAGGACAAATTCTAATATTCTGTGGAAAGCTGAGTATTGTTATGATATCAACACAACACAATAAGAACATCATTATTATGTTTGATTTTCCTCCTGATGGGTATCTTACCATATTTTTCCAGGCTATTTTCCCGCAAGCATATGCTTTTCATTTGCATCAGAAGTTCCCTCATTAAGATGATCGTGTCCAGTGTTCACTCCAGCTGGTGTTGAGCAACAGACCCACCGACTAACCGCATGAATAAGGTTTCACTCAGGCAGAAAGATGAGTTCCTTTTTATTTTCTCTTTGCTTTTGTGGCTAAAGGAGGAAAACAGTGATACGCAGCTTATGTTCCTGGTGATTTGAAATTGAAGCACATAACACAGACAGAAGCTGAGTATGAGAGCAAGACAAAGGGTCTATAAAGCATAAAAGGATCAAAGGAGAATGTCAGCGTGAAGTAGATTGAGAATAAAGAAGAGGGAGAAGTGGGAAGAAGAAGAGGCTGCAAAGGAGAAAGGCAGCAACCTGCCTGCAGCTGGGGCGGGCAAAACAGTGGGGGCACTGGGTGGTGCTGGTAGGAGGGATGCCTGGACTCAGAGCAATCAGACAGAGGCTTAGGGTAACAGGCTGTTCCTCCATTTTAATAGCCCATTGAGCAAATAATTCATTGAATTAGACTTGCAAAATGAACACCATATATCATATTATAATAAGGAAGAAAATGACTATATTAAAACTCAGACCGGATCTATGAGATGGTGGGGGCAATACTTAAGATTGTAAAGATCTAGATTAGCTCAGAGAGACGGAGCATGAATCAGTGTTTTCTGACTTTGTCACTTTCAGAACTTGTCCACACGAAGTCAAGATGGGAAATGTTTTATCTCATAACAAATGTGGGGAAGTGATTTACCATCTTCAGTTCCTGAGAACAGATGGTTATAGATCATACACAGCAGGCTTTATGAGGAGACAAAGTGAGAGATACCTGCATAGCTCCATTTGAGGAACCTAACAGGCACCCTATTTCAAAATACCAACTTCCTTGAAGCCTTTCCATTCTTAAAGCTTCACTACTCCAGTTCTATTTTCCTTTGCTGTTAGCAGGAATTGATGGACTGTCTATGCACTAGGGAAATGGGGAGAAAGCCACTTAGAAAAGTGTCAGGGGTCTCCTAAGACTTAGGAAGCGTTCCAAATGTTAAACATTTTCCTTCTTTCCTTGACCTGAGTTAGATTGTTGCCACTCTCCTTTTTATAATAAATGTTTTACAGGAAAACCTGGGAAGTTAATTCTCAAGGGTCTCAACCAGGGTTATGCTCTCCTTCCCCCTCCAGCGGCAGGAGGCAATGTCTGAAAACATTTTTGGTTGTCTGCTGGAAAGACGGAGGTCCTGGCATCTAGTGGGTAGAGGCCAGAGACGCTGCTAAACATCTGGTTTAAACAGCTGCTAAACTTGGGCGCCTGGGTGGCTCAGTTGGTTAAACAGCTGCTAAACTTACAGGACAGCCCCCACCACAGGGAATTATCTGACCTAAAATGTCAAAAGTGCCAAGGTAGAAAAACCCTGGTGGACTGCCACAGTCACATAAATGAAAGATAAATAGTTCCAGGTAAATTCATTGGTTCGTCCATTCACTCGTCAGCAAACATTCAATGAGTATGTTCAAGGCAGCGTGCCAGGGGCTGGGGTGCAATGGCAAGGTACACACAATCCTTGCTGTTAGGGATTTGCCACTCTCAACAAGAATATCATATAAACATTCGGAGCAAAGAGAGAGTCATCCCAGGTGTGTGGCCAGAGAGAGCTTCCGGCTGAAGCGATGTTTAAATGGCTGGGTAGTGGACCCTCAGAGGAGGGGGACCCGCTCTCTGAAGGAAGGAAAGGAGGATGCATATTGCAGAACCGAAGCAAACCCACGGGACAAGATCCGAGCAGACTGGAGTGGAAAGAGTGAGAGATAGTGTTGGAAGGCAGGCAGCCAGATTGTATCAAGTATCGATAGGCTGAGGTTTTGTTGCTGTTTGTTCATTTGTCTATTTGCTTTTACTGCACCTTGTAGAAAAGGGAATCTATTGAATTTTTTGTTTGTTTGTTTGTTTGTTTTTTAGAGAGAGAGAGCGCATGCAAGAGAACAGGCTCCATGTCCATCATGGAGCCCAATGAGGGGCTCAGTCTCGCAATCCTGAGATCATGACCCCAGCTGGAACCAAGAGTTGGGGCTTAACCAACTGAGCCACCCAGGCGCCCCCATTGGTTTTGAGCAGGGGTGTACCATGAACAGAGACCTGGAGTTGAAGCACTTTCCTAGCAAAAGTGCATGAGTGGTGGCCTTTGGAAAGCTCCTTGAATGTCATCACTGCTCCTTGCACCGGTGGCCTAGTGAAAGAGCTCAGCAAACACCCCGTTCTCAGCGTTGGGGCTGGCAAGCCTCCTCAGCCTTTCCCAGATGCTGATCTTGTCGCTTATCTCCCATTTCCTTCCTTCCCTCACTGTTAGGATTTCATCTTTATTACTATTTTTTGAGCCATGACTCTAGGTCCTTTTAGTGGCAGAATTCATTTCACATCCCCTGTGGTTCTCAACACGTCAGTATCAGAACCACCTGGGGACAGTGGGGGGAGGTGTGCAGAAGGGGGGATTACCAAGGGGTGATAAAAATGTTCATTATTGACTGTGGTGATGGTTTTATGGTGCATGCGTATGTCAAAACTTACCAAATCGTATATTTTAAATAGGTGCCATTTATGGTATGTCAATTATACTTCAACAAAACTATTGAAAAAAAAAAGAATCACTTGGAGTGTGTGAAATTTTGTATTTCTAACAGTCTTCGAGAGGCACTGCTCTATACTGACCTCGGATAAACCAATCCCCTTCCTCTTTCTGCATGATTTCCAGGTCTTCCTGTCACTATCCCTCTTGAAGGGCTGTTCAACACATGCTGACCTTATTTCATCCACTGCTGTTTATCTTTGGTCATTGAGTCTGGCTTCTGCCTTCTACTACCCTAACAAAATGGCCCCTTCAGGGGTCACAGATGATAATGATAATCCACATACACGTAGTTCTCACATGCTAGTTTTGTTCTGCATACTTCACACGTATATTAACTCATGAATCCTCATAACAAGCCAACAAGATAGGTACTATTATAGTTTCTACTCTAAGGTGGAAAAACTAAGGTATGGAGAGGTTTACCAATGGGCCCAGGTCACAGAGCTAGTGCACGGTGAAGTCCAGACTTAAATCTGGGTAGTCTGGTTCCAGAGCCATGTTCTTATCCTCTACTTGTCTTCCCTGACTTTTTGAAGCTGGCTTGTCACTCATGGCTAGGTTATGTTATTCTCCTCTAAGACATAAACAGCCTCACAGAACAGTAATCTCAGACAAGGCTACCCTTAGACCATGGTAAAATGAGCCAAAACAAGGCCACTTCAAAATTTTGTTTAAAAACAGACAATACCAAAGTCACTGTGCCACCATAAAATACGAAACACCCTCTCTCTCAGCCAAAACAAGTGACTGCTTCTTCTTGACTAATTACAACTTTGTCCTCCTTCTAGTTCTCCTTCCCTGTCGATAAGATTGACTGAGATAGCCAATCACAGAACTGTCCCTGCCCTCTGACAACATCCAGTTCACAGTGAGCCCCTGCTTCCTTAGACTAACCCCCCAGTCGCTCATCCAAAGCCCAGTTTCCATCTTAGCTTCTAACACCATCTTACCGAGAGACCCCATGGTTCCCATGGTGTGTGCCTTCCCTCCTGCGACAAGTAATACACCCAACTTGTTCAGCTACATGTGGGTTCCTGGCAAGCTTTGGCTAGAGGGCATTGATACGTCCATGCCATATATGACTTTCCACTTTTTGAAACCCCCTTCTTCCTTGGATTCTAGATAATATTGTCTCCTGATCCTGCTCCTATTTTTTGATGAGCTCCAGTGATTTCTACCTCTTGGAATTCATGTCCTGTGTAATCTCTTCCCTTTGAGGAGGGGCCAGACCTAGTGACTCCCTACTAATGAACAGAACACACCAAAAATAATATCATGTCCCTTCTGAAATTAGGTTACAAAAAGACTCTAACTTCAGTCTTACTTGCTCTCTCAGTTGCCCCTGCTGATGGAGCCAGTTGCCAGACTGTGAGCTGCTCTGCCTACAGAAAGTGGGCATCCCACAGAAAAAAACCCAGAGAGAAGTGTCATGGAACTAAGGTAGGTCTCCAAGCAATAGTCAATGAAGAAATGAGTCCTGCCCCAAACCACTTGAGTTACCTTGGAATTGGATCTTTCCCTAATTGACCTTGAGGAGACTGCCATCCTAGCTGACACCTTGATTGCAGCCTTGGGAGAGACTTTGAAGAGAGGCATTCAGCTAAGCTGTGCTGGATTCCTCACCCACAAAAATTATAAGAGAGTAAATCTTTGTTATGTGAAATCTAAATTTTGGAATGAGTTGTTATGCAACCATATATAACTATTACAGACCTCTGTAATACAAAGATGATTCTACAGCATCAACCTAGTTATGTCACTGGTAGGGAATCTTTCATGGCTGACCACTGCCTTTAGGATAAAAGTTCACAGTCTGACCCAAGGTTGGATGTATCCTTTGCTTTAGCCACAATAAACTGCTCGTCGGTCTTGGAACATACCAAGTGACTTAGATTATCTTGTTTCCTTTCCCTGGAATATTACCCATGCTGTCAAGTCTTCCCAAGAGCTTCCATATTAGAATGAATTTCTCCTCTCCTGGCTTTCCAAAGCCCAGAGGAACAGGTAGAAATGGGCAGGAAAGATAGAGAAAGCACACAGACAAGAGGAAGTAAAGAAAAGTAAATATGATAACACAAGAGATAGCAGCTATAAGAATGATAACAGAAATTCATTGGCTCCAGAGAGAACAGACTGTGCCCTGCCACAAAATTCAGACTTGCCCGTAAAGGGGATGGAAGACATTCTTTGTAAGGGAATCACTTTGATCCTTAGGCTGGGATTTATATTTGTAGCTGGGAGGGAATGATGGTCCAAGCCTAGGTGAAAACTTGCTGTTGCTATTTTTGGCCAATCAACACAAGCAGCCCCAGGCACAGGCAGATGCCTAAGGCCCTGCTCCTATGGGTGTCCATCATGCAATAGCCTCTGGGTACATTTACAAATATGATTTTCAGATATCATTTTTGGCTCTCAGAACTTTTGGCTCTCAGAGTGACTTCACTCTCCACTCTTGAATTAGGTTTCTTACCTGCAGAATATCTGTGACGAAACCAGATCAACTTTGCTAAAAAGTGCTATCAAATTTCATCAGAA